CTGGAGTTTTGGTGAGGTTAGGTTATGGTTAGGTTAGGCTCAAAATTTGACCAGGAGACTCCAAATTTCGTTTTCTCACATAAAATATAATAAATCAGTTTAATGGAGGTTAGGTTTAACATTACTGGAATTTGGTTAGGTTAGGTTAGGTTAGTTAGGTTAGGCTTCAAATTTAACCAGGAGACTCCAAAATTTCGTTTCTCACATAACTTTATATTAAATCAGTTAATGGAGGTTAGGTTACAATAACGGGAATTTGGTTTGAGGTTAGGTTAGGTAGGCTCAAATTTGACAGGAAACTCCAATTTCGTTTTCAGCTTTAATGGAGGTAGGTTTCATTAGCTGGAATTTTGTTTGAGGTAGGTTAGCGTAGCGCTCAAAATTTGGACAGGAGACTCCAAATTTCGTTTTCGTTACGTCAAGTTCATATTAAATCAGTTATGGAAGTATAGCTAGGTAATTAGCTGTGATTGGGCGCTGAGGTTAGTGTAGGGTAGCGGAGGCTCCAGATTGACAGGAGTCTCCAATTTCGTTTTCTTTACAAAAGGTTTATAATTTAAATGAGGTTGTAATGGAGGCTGATTACATTAGCTGGGAATTTTGTTGAGGTTAGGTTAGGTTAAACGTTAGTGTTAGGCTCAAATTTGACAGGTAGACTCCAAAATTTCGTTTTCTTACATTAGGTTTATATCTTAAATCAGTTTAATGGAGGTCTAGGTTACATTAGCTGGAATTATGTTGAGTTAGGTTAGGTTAGGTTAGGTAGGCTCAAAATTTGACCAGGAACTCAATTTCGTTTTTCTTTACATTAAGGTTTATATTGCCATTCATTTTTCATAGGGAGGTTAGGTTACATTAGCTGGAATTTGGTGAAGGTTAGCTTAGCGAGGCTCTAATTTGGACCAGGGACACTCCAAATTTCGGTTTTTCTACACTAAGGTTTATATTAAATCAGTATAGGTTTACATTATCTGGAATTTGGTGAGTTCAGGTTTTAGGTAGGGACTTCAAATTTGACCAGGAAGACTCCAAATTCGTTCCCTTTACATAAGAAGATTTATCAATGAATTCGGTTTTCATGGAGGTTATGGTCCTACGCATTAGCTGGAAATTTGGTCGAGGTTATAGAGTTAGGCTCCAATTTGACCAGGGGAACTCCAAATTTCGTTTTCTTCACATAAGGTTTATATCAAATCAGTTCTAATGGAGGTTAAGGTTACATTAAACTTGGGAATTTTGGTTTTGAGTTAGGTTAGTTTAGGTTAGGCCCAAATCTGACCAGCTAGACTCCAAATTTCCTTTTCTTACATAATGTTTATATCAAATCCAGGTTCAATGTTAGTTTATGTTACATTGAACTGGACATTTGTTTTGCAGGTTAGGTCTAGGTTAGGCGTGTTAAGGTAGGTTAGGCTCCAAATTTGACCAGGGAGTCTTCCCAAATTTCGATTTTCTTATATAAGTTTATATTAAATTCAGTTTAATGGAGGTTAGGGTTACATAGCTGGACAATTTTGGTTAGGTTATGGTATAGGTTAGCTCAAATTGAACCAAGAACACTTTCCAAATTTTCGCTTTTCTTACATAAGAGCTTTGTATTAAAATCAGGTTACTGGAGTTTTAGATTACATTGTAACTGGAATTTGGTGAGCTTACTGTATTAGGTTAGGTTAGGTTAGGTTAGGGACTCAAATTGACCAGGAGACTCCAAAATTTCTTTTCTTACATAAGGTTACATTAAATTCAGTTTTAATGGAGGTTTAGGTTACATTAGCTGGAATTTTTGGTTAGGTTAGTTAGGTAAGGGGCTGAAATTTGACCAGGAGACTCCAAAAGTTTCGTTCTACATAAGTTTATATTAAATCAGTTAATGGAAAGGTTATATTACATTAGCTGGAATTTTGAGGTGAGGGTGGAGGTTAGGTTGGGCTCAATTTGACCAGGAAACTTCCAAATTCGTTTTCTTACATAAGGTTTATGACTTAAATCAGTTTTTAATGGAGTTGAGGTTACATTAGCTGGAATTTGGTAGACAGGTTAGGTTAGATTAGGAGTTTAGGTTAGGCTCAAATTTGACCAGAGACTCCCAAATTTCCTTTTCTTACATAAGGTTTATATTAAAATCAGTTTAAGGAGATAGTTACATTAGCTGGAATTTAGGTTAGGTTAGGTTAGGTTAAGTTAGGTTTAGGCTCAAATTTGACCAGGAGACTCCAAGATTTCGTTTTCTCACATAACTTTATATTAAATCAGTTTAAATGGAGGTTAGGTTACTATTACTGGAATTGGTGAGGTTAGGTTAGGTTAGGTTAGTAAATTTGGGACCTCTAAATTACTCCCACTAATTTCGATTTCTTAATAACGGTTTATATTAATTCAATTTTTCATGAAGGTTAGGTTAAATTAGCTGGAATTTGGTGAGTAGGTTAGGTTAGGTTAGGCTCCAAATTGACAGGAGACTCAAATTTCGTTTTCTTTACATAAGGTTTACATTAAATAGTTTAATGCAGGTTAGTTACATTATTGGCAGTTGCTGAGGTATAGGTTAGGTTAGGTTGGGCTCGAAAATTTGACTCAGGAGACTCCAAATTTTGTTCATCTTACATCAAGATTTATATTTAATTTCAGTTCTCATGGAGGCTTTAGGTTACATATAGCTGGAATTTGGGTGAGGTTAGGTGGAGGGGTTAGCGTTAGGCAGCTCAAAATACTTATTGTTGCAAACCAGGGAACGTGTCTCCAAATTCGTTTTCTTACACATAAGGTTTAATCAAAAATCAAGTTTTTAGATGGAGGTTATGTTACATTAACCTAGGTAAGGTTTGCGTGAAGCGTTAGGTTAGGCTCAATATTACGACCAGGAGTCTTCCAAATTTCGATTTCTTACATCAGTTTTATTAAATCAGTTTAGAATGGAGATTAATGTTACATTAACCTGGAATTTTGGTGAGGTTAGGTTTAAGAGTTAGGATTAGGTTAGGCTCAAATTTGACCAGGGGGGAGAACTCCAAAATTCTTTTCTTACATAAGGTGTACATATATTAAATCAGACTTCTACATGGGGAGTTAGGTTTTAATTAGACTGATGATACTATGGTGAGGTTAGGTTAGGACAAGTTAGTTTTAGGTTAAGGCGCAATTTGATCCAGGAGAGACTCACAAATTTATCGACATTTCTTAGATCAAGGTTTTATACTTAATTCAGTTTCATGGAGTTAGTTCCATGGAGCTGGAATTTGTGTGTGAGTGTAGGGTTAGACTTACTTAGCTTAGGCTCAAATTTGACCAGGTGGACGTCCAAATTTCGATTTTTCTTACATCAAGTTCTATCATTAATTCAGTTTCATTTGGAGGTTAGGTTATCCACTTAGCTGGAACTTCTGGTGCAGGTTATGGTAGCTTAGCTTAGCTTAAGGCTCACACAATCTTTTTGCACCCAGGGCGACTCCAATTTCGTTTTCCTTACATAAGGTTTATATTAATTCAGTTTCATGGAGGGTTAGTTATCAATTTAGCTTGTGAATTTGGTGAGCTAAGGTTAGATTAGGTTTAGGGTTAGGCTCAAATTCTGGAAACCAGACGACCTCCACAATTTCGTTTTTTTACAGAAAGGTTTCACTATTAAAATCAGTTTAATGGACGGTTAGGTTACATTATCCTGCGAATTTGGTCTGAGGTTAGTTAGGTTAGGTTAGGTTAGGTTAGGCTCAAATTTGACCAGGAGAAACAGGTTGGTTAGGTTAGGTTTAGGTTAGCGTTAAGTGTAAGGTTTAAGGTTAAGTGTTAAGGTTAAGGTTAAGGTTTAAGGTTAGGGTTAGGTTAGCGTTTAGCGTTAGGTATAGGTTAGGATTAGGTTAGGTTAGGCTTAGGTTAGTCTAGGTTTAGGTTTAGGTTAGGTTAGCGTTTAGGGTGTAGGTGGTTAGGCTAAGGTTTTCGGAGTTTTCGGGTTTTCAGGGGTTTCGGTGTTTTCGGCAGTTTGAGCGGGTTTCGGTTTTCGGGGAGTTTTCGGGTTTTCGGTGTTCGGTTTTCGGGTTTTCGGGTTTTCGGAGTTTTCGGCAAGTTTCGGGGATATTTCGGTCGTTTTCGGGTTTTCGGGTTTCGGCGTTTTCGGCCGTTTCCGGTGTTTTTCGGGGTTTTGGTTCGGCGTTTTCCGGTGTTTTTCGGGGTTGTTCGGGGGTTTTCGGCTGTTTTCGGTTTTCGGCGATGTATTTCGGCGAGTTTTCGGGTTTTCGGGAGTGGTTTTCGGGTTTTCGGTGTTTCGGGTTTCGGCAGCTTTTCGGGTTTTCGGTGGTTTTCGGCGGTGCGATTTTCGGGTTTTCGGGTTTTCGCGTTTTGGATTGCTCGGGTTTTCGGGTTTTTCGCGTTTCGGGCTCTCTTCGAGAGGTTTTCGGTTTTTGGTTTGCGGGTTTCGCGGTTGTCGGGGGGTTTATCGGGTTTTCGGCGTTTTGCGGGTTTTCGGCGTTTTGCGTGTTTTCGTAGGTTTTCGGGTTTCTCGGGTTTTCGGCGTTTTCGGGTTTTCGGGTTTTCGGGTTTTCGGGTTTTCGGGTTTTCGGCGCTTTCGGGCTTTTCGGGCAGTTTCGGGGCTTTTCGAGCTTTCGGGCTTTCGCGGCTTTCGGGCTTTCGGGCTTTCGGGCTTGCGGGCTTTCGGGCTTCGGGTCTTATCGGGCTTTCGGGGCTTTCGGCTCGAAGGCTTTTCGGGCTTTCGGGCTTTTTCAGGCTTTGCGTGGCTTTCGGGCTTTCGGGCTTTCGGGCGTTCGGGCTTCGGGCTTTCGGGGCTTTCGGGCTGTCGGGCTTTCGGGCTTTCGGTGCTTTCGGCTTTCGGGCTTTCGGGCTTTCGGGCTTCTTTCGGGCTTTGCGGGCTTTCGGGCATTTCGCGCTTTCGGGTTTTTCGGGATCTTTCGGGCTTTCGGCTTTCGGGCGGTTCGGGGCTTTGGGCTTTCGGGCTTTCGGGCTTTCGGCTTGTCGGGCTTCGGCTTTCGGGCTTTCGGCTTTCGGGTTTTCGGGCTTTCGGGCTTCGGGGCTTTTTCGGGCGTTCGGGCTTCGGGCTTCCGGGCGTTCGGTGCTTTCGGGCTTTCGGGCTTTCGGGCTTTCGGGCTTTCGGAGCTTTTCGGGCTGTTCGGGCTTTCGGCGCTTTCGGGCTTTCGGTTTCGCGGCTTTCGGCTTTCGGGCTTTCGGGCTTTCGGGCTTTCGGGCTTCGGCGCTTTCGGGCTTTCGGGCTTTCGGGCTTAATCGGGCTTCCGGGCTCTCTGGGCTTTCGGCTTTCGGGCTTCGGGCGCTTTCGGGACTTTCGGGACTTCGGGCTTTCGGGCTTCGGGCTTTCGGGCTTTCGGGCTTTCGGGCTCTTTCGGGCTTCGGGCCTTTCGGGCTCTTTCGGGCTTGTCGGCTTTCGGGCTTCGGGCTTTCGCGGCGTTTCGGGCTTTCGGGCTTTCGGGCTTTCGGGCTTTCGGGCTTTCGGGCTTTCGGGCTTTTCGGGCTTTCGGGCTTTCGGGCTTCGGGGCTTTCGGGCTTTCGGGCTCTTCGGGGCTTTCGGCTTTCGGGCGTTCGGGCTTTCGGGCTTTCGGGCTTGGCGGACTTTCGGGCTTGTCGTGTCTTTCGGGCTTTCGGGCTTTCGGGCTTTCGGGCATGTTCGGGCTTTTCGGCTTTCGGGCTTTCGGGCTTTCGGGTTTTCGGGGGTTTTCGGGGTTTTCGGATGTTTTCGGAGTTTTCGGAGTTTCGGTGGTTTTCGGGTTTCGGGTTTTCGAGTTTTTCGGGGTTTTTCGGGTTTTCGGGTTTCGGGTTTTCGGGTTTCGGTTTTCGGGTTTCGGGGGTTTCGGTTTTCGGGTTTTCGCGGTTTTCGGCGTTTTCGGAGTTTTTCGGGTTTCGGGAGTTTTCGGGTTTTTCAGGTTTCGGGTTTTCGGGTTTTCGGTTTTCGGGTTTTCGGATTTTCGGTTTTGGGGTTTTTTCGGGTTTTCGGTTTTCGGGTTTTTCGGGTTTTCGGCGTTTTCGGTTTTCGGGTTTTCGGTGTTTTCGGGGTTTTCGGGTTTTCGGTTTTGTGAGTGCGGGTTTCGGTTTACGGGTTTTCGGGTTTTGTTCGAGTCGGGTTTTGTTTCGTTTTCGAGGCTTTTCGGGCTTGTCGGGGTTTTGTGAGTCGGGTTTAACGGTTTTCGGGTTTCGGGTTTTCGGGTTTTTGTGAGTCGGGTTTTCGGTTTTCCGGCTTTCGGGTTTTGTGAGTCGGGTTTCGGTTTTCGGGGTTTCGGGGTTTTCGGGTTTTGTGAGTTCGGTGTTTGGTTTTCCGGGTTTTCGGTTTGTCGGGTTTTGTGCTGAGCGGGGTATTCGGCTTTTTCGGTTTTCGGTGTTTTCGGGTTTTGTGACGTCGGGTTTCGGCTTTTCGGGTTTTCCGGGTTTCTGGTGCAGTTCCGGGTTTCGGTCTTTTCGGGTTTTTCGGGTCTTTCGGGGTTTCGGTTTCGGATTTTGGTGTCCGGGCTTTCGGTTTTCGGGTTTTGTGAGTCGGGTTTTCGTTCTCGGTTTTCGGGTTTCCGGGTTTCGGTTTTCGATTTGTGTCGGGGTTTTCGGTTTTCGGGTTTTGTGAGTCGGGTTTCGGTTTTCGGGTTTTCCGTGGGTGTTTGTGTGCAGACACTCGGAAGGGATCTGGGCATCGACGGATACTTATGTGTACTGCTTTTGTACACACACGACATACACGCACAAGTGTGTGTGTGTGTTGTGTTATATATACATATATATATATAATAGTATTATATATATATATATATATCCTATATATATATAGTAGTTATGATATATATATATAGTATAAATATATATATATTATATAGTATATGTGTGTGTGTGTGTGTGTGTGTGTGTGTGTGTGTGGTGTGTGTGTGTGTGTGTGTGTTGTGTTGGTGTATGTGTGTGTGTAAATGTGTACATCCATTGGTATGTCACACACAACCATACAGTACATACAATACAATACATATATATCATATATGATATATATATATATATATATATATATATATATATATATACATGATATATACATATATATATATATTATATATTATATATATATATATATATATATATATATATATATATAACTATATGTGTGTGTGTGCTGTGTGTGTGTGTATAGAATGTATTCTAGTACTATATATTATATATATATATATATATATATATATATTATATATATATATATATATATATATATATATTATATATATATATATATATATATATATATATATATATATGCTATATATATATGTATATGTATATTATATATATTATATATATATATATTATATATATATATATATATATATATATAGATACATATATATATATATAGTATATTAATAATATATATATATATGACTGTTATAGCTATATATTATAGTATATATATAAAAGTATGATATATATATGTATTATAATATAATATATACTATATAATATATACCTCACAGTATATATATATATGTATAAACTGTATACTATATAACGTGGTGTGTGTGGTGTGTGTTAGTATATACTATATATATTATATACTATATATATAGATATCATATATATAATTATATGCATATATATTAGCATAGCATTTATATATATTTATATATAGTATATAGTAGTATATATATATAATATATAGTTATGATATGTATAATTATTATGATTAATATATTACACTATATAGTAAGTGATATATTCCCACATACGTATAAAGAGATACATCATCGTCTCTATTATATCATGTAGCTATCCACATCAAATATAAAAATGATACATTCTAGTTCTTTTTTTCCATCCATACATACACGTAAACGTAATGAAAACTACGCATTAATCGCAAATATATGTAATTTATGTCCAGCCAGGGAGTTTTCGCACAAAATGGCGCCGCCGCGCGGAGGAATACAAAAGACTCTTCGCGCCAACGGACGTAAAAGTGGCGCGCGATTTAAAATTCAAACAGAGGAGTGTCTCCCGATGGTGGAATTATTTGTTTTTATCTTCTCCTTCTATTTCTTGAGGCGGAGGGGGGGGGGTAGAAGGGGGAGGAGGGGAGTGGGGATGGAAGGAGAGGTATGGGAAAGGGTGGGAGAGTGGGAGATGCAATGGGGAAGTGGGGAGCGAACGGAGAGAAAGGAGATAGGGTTAGAGGGAGAGGAAGAGAGGTAGGAGGGGAGTGAGAAGGAAATAAGGAGGGGAGGATAGGGAAGAATGGAGAAGAGGAGAAGAGGAGAATAGTGAGACAGGGGAGGGGGAGAGAGATAGGGAGGGGGTGAAGAGATATGGGAAGAAGGGAGATAGGGGGAAGAGTGAGGGGGATAAGAGGAAGAAGAGAGAACGAGGGAGAGGGAAGAGAGATAGAAAGAGGGAGATGGAGATAGAGAGAAAGGTGAGGGAGTTGGAGAAGTGCAGAAGAGGTAGGAAGGCAAAGGAAAAGAAGACGAAAGAAGAGGAATAGGAAGGAGAGGAATGTAAGAGAATGGGGAAAAACAAGAAGGCGAAAGAAGATATAAGAAATATGGAAGAGTTGAGAGAAAAGAATGAGGAAAATGGGAAATGGGAAAATATAGATTACGGAGTTAGGGTGCGAAAGGAAAGAGGAATAAGAGGAGAAAGGGAAAGTTATGAAAGAGGATGGAATGAGAAGGGAAAAAGGGAAGGGGATAAATTGGGGGGGAAAAGAGGGGATGGATATAAAAATACGGAGATAGGAAGAATGAAGATGGAGTAAGAAAGGAAGGAGAAAGAGGAGGAGAGGGTAGAAAGCGAGAGGAAGAGGAGGGGGAAAAAAGGAGGTGTGAATGTTCCTCCTGAGGGAGAGGTGAGGGGTTTGCTGGGGGGTGGGAGGGAATGGGGAGGGGAGGGGGAGGGGGCAGTGGCCGGCGGTCAGGATGGCAGACGGCGAGGCAATGGTAGTCATTAGTGTGGGAAGGTGTGTGCGATTGAGAGCCGTCGCGAAGGTGGATCTTCATGTCCGTGAAATAATTGTTTGCGGGGGCGAGTGGCCTACTGTGGGAGATAAGAAGAGGACGAATGAGGATGGGTGTGGAGCGTGCGCAGATGTGTGTCTCCTACGGTCGGGTGATCACTCGATCTCTGCTTCTCTTGTCTCTCTTTTCTCTGTCTTCTCTCGTCTTCTCGTTCTCTCTCTCTTCTTTCTGCTCTGCTCGGTCCTCTTTGTTTCTCTCGCGGTTCTCTCTACATGCGCGTCGNAGGTTAAAAACGTGACTGATTTGTCGAAAGCGTCCGGTAAAAAGTAGATTTGTCATTACGCAGACACATGATACATATGAATATTTATGTATACATACACACATATGCTTATATACATATGTGTGTGTGTGTGAGCGAGAGAGAGAGAGAGAGAGAGAGAGAGAGAGAGAGAGAGAGAGAGAGAGAGAGAGAGAGAGAGAGATCATTATCATCATTAGTGTTACAAAATACGATCTTTACTATTATCATAACTGTCATTATCATTATCATCAATATGGAAAATATCAATATTATCTCTACTATCATTATTGCTAACAACATCATAATTACAATATTTTTTTTTGTGTACTTATAATGGTTAAATGATAATCAACCGATAGACTTTAAACTCATATATATTTCACGTATTGCATAAGTGAGGTCCATTGCATATCCGCAA